CTCGCCCCCCGCGAGCCCGGGGGCTGTGGGTGGCGGCCAGGCAGGCCCGCCCCGGGCTCGGCGGAAGTCCATCTGATGCCCCCCAGCACCCCTGTCCCCGGGCCGGGGGTCGACGTGGGCGGGAGGGCCGGCGGCACTCATCGCCGGGCCCTCCCCAGAGCTTAAAGGGAGGGTGAGGGGCGGTGGCCTCGGTGCCGTCTTGGGGTGCTGTCTCCGGCCATGAGTTCTGCTTCCTTTCCGTGCCGAGCCCCTCCCTCCTCTCCAGAAATATATTAAAGCTGCCTCCTAAGCACAAGCCCAGCTCTCAAGTTCCCCTGGGGGTGCGAATCCCCGCAGTCCAAATTGTTTCAGGAAGGCGTGGCCACGTCAGGAGAGGGGCTTCCCCTGCTAGTCACCCCGGCCGGCTGGCCCAGGGGTGTGGAGGGGAGACAGGCTTTCCCCGCTGTGGGGGAATCAGGGCTCTGCACACCGGGCTCCTGCCCAGAGCAACCCCGGGAGAGGACGAGTGAGGGGAAGCGCCTGCCATCCAGGGCGGAGAGCGGTGGACTCGCTCCTGGCCTGTCCAGTGTGTCCAGTGCTAAAAGCACACCCTCTGCCTGTCCACCCCCACCCCAGACTCAGACGCTTCAGAGGAAGGGGGCCTTGCTGACACCCACAGGTCCTTCCGTGGGACCTGGTGAGGTGAGTGCTCACCCCAGCTGCGTGACCTCAGGGAGTCTCACCCCATCCTGGGCGGGGTGGCAAGGTTCCCAGGAGGGGCACCTGCCCCACGAGGGGCCGCAACAAACCCCTGGGGTACACACTCGCTCTCAGCTCCTAAAACTGGACCAGCATCCCGTAGCTTCTCAGATAGAACTGCCTCAACACAAAGCAGAGAAGCCACTTAGAAAAGCCAAAAACTTTAATTTTCAACATGAGCTACATGGTCGTGAACACAATGCAACGTGACTCACCCATTCCAACTGGGGCCCCCAAAACCCCCCCTCCCCAAAGGCCCGACTCCTGCTCCCAGCCAGGGCTTGAAGAAAAGGTGGGTGGATGGAGAGGCTCCCCCCACCCAGGCCCGGGCTCTGCCCTGCTCCCCCACCCCGGCCCCCCGGGAAGCAGTCCTAGAGGGAAAGGCTCCGGATGTGAGGTGAGGCGGCGGGTTCAGGTCTCCCCTCAGCCCTCACAGAAGCCAACGAGTGTGGTCGGCCTCCCCGCCAGGCTTGTGAGTCATAGGAGCCCCTGGACACAAAAGCTTCTGTCCACTCTGAGATGCTACTATACAGACCGGGGCCCTTCCGAGGGCGTGGGAGCCGTCACGGGGGGCGTGGGGAGGCCGCGGCCCTCAGGGCCTGGCACAGCACTGCTGCTCAATAAATAAACGCAGGAGGCCTTGCCAGATGCAACTGCTGTGCTCGGGAGTGGGTGCAGTGCTGCTGTGGACACTGGGGGTGCCACGGTTCTAAATCAGCCTGCAAAGCGCAGGACCCCCGGGGAGCTACCAGCTTCACCCCCTCATGTACAAGAATCCCCTGAACTGTCAGAGAACAGAGTGCTAGACTCAGCCCCTACCTCCCGGTGGGGACTTAGCAGATGCCAACTCTCCCTCAGCTTCATCCTCTTTAAAACGGGGCTGATCCCACAGGCCCCCCCGCCCCCCACCTCCTGCCCAGGGTTCTTGGGAGGGTACATCCAGATGAAAGCACTTTGAAAGCAAAAACTTGGAAAACACTACAGGAAGATCAGATGCGATTACATCATTTGAAGGTTTTGCGAAGATCTCCTTAAGATGCGGGGTTCTACAGCTGCACCCCACTCCCACACAGCCCTTGGTGCTTCTTAACTGCCTCAAGTTGGTCCTGGAGGGGTTAGGCCTGATGGGAGTTCCCACCCAGACTGACGCCTGGCCCCAATTTACACAACCTTGGCCAGTCGGGTCAGGCCCCTAAGATGTCTGTCCCGATGGCAACCCTGTCCCCAAGCCCGAGGCTAGCAAAGTTACCGTCCACCCAAATGGAACCAAACAGCACTGGGTGGGTCAGGGGTTAAGGGCCACAAATACCCCTCATGGCAGACGTGGCCCAGAGCCTCGTCCCGGGAAGAGCCAAAACACCATGAAGCCCCTGGTTTGGCCCCCCACTTGCTGAGGGGCCTTGGACAAGTCGTTTTCTAATTCTGGACCTCAGTCTCCTCCCCTCAGGTGGCCACAATTTACCTCCAGGCCTCTGGGAAGCTCCAGGGAGAAATGAGAAAGTGTGGCCTTATTTTGTCCTGTTCTGACTCCAGCTCAGCCAAGGGTGGGGGGGGGGCGGCCAGGCTGGGGGTGTCATGGAATTCACAGGTGACCCCAGGCCTCGGTCTCCTGGTCTGTAACATGGAAATGACCTTCACTTGTGGTCTCAAAGGTGCTTCCCTTTTAGCAGGAAAAGCAGATTCTGGAGAAAGAACCTAGAGATGACTCCCTTTAACCCAGAGGGGCTTGTCCCCGAGGGACCCCAGTGTGGCCCCCCAACTCCACCTTCTCTGCTCCTCCCCCAACGGGGAGCTATGAGCTGGTAAAGGAGCAGACAGCAGGGGACAGGCCAGGCTTGAAGGGTCCCGAAGGACATGGAGAGAACAGCCACCCCCTCCCCAGGCCCCAGCCCTTGGTGAGGACAGACAGCGGCTCCCACACCAAACAGTCAGAGCCCCTTGGGTGGGGGCACAAGCTCACAAGATGAAACAACGAAACAGGGCTCCGGCCCCCACCCCACCCCACCCCTCCAGGAGGCGAGCTGAGATTTCACAGAACAAACACATAAGTCGTGAGGGGGCCTCGCTGACCACCCCCAGGGTGTTATTGCTTTGGAGCGCTCTCCTCCTCTGTTTATAAAGCCAGTGCAGACACAGAGGGTCGGCTCAGGTGGGGGCGCAGAGCCCCCTTCTCCCTCTGCTGGGGACAGCCAGGCTCTGCCCCATCTCTGAAAAGCTACCCTGAACGACCAGAGCAGTGATGACTGCAGAGAGGAGGCGCTCTCCTGGCTCAAAATAGTCAATGGTGAGTAATAAACGAACAGCAGAGAAATCACACTGGAAAACAGCAGAGGGAGGAGGGGCGGGCTCTGGCGGCTGATACCAGGCCTCGTTCGGGCCCTGCCCCCTCCTGCCCCAGTTCTGGGATCCCACCAGCCCTCTCGGGATGCTCTGCAGACCTCCCGGATAAAAGGGGCATCACGGATAAAAGAAGCTCCTGGAGGTGACAGGCCCCAAGCAGAGCCTGAAAGGACTCGTAGGGCTTCAACGGGAGCACGGGAGGGCAGTGGAATCACCTGGTCAGTAGCCTAGAGTGGGCCCCTGAATAAGGTGGGGTCACCCACCGCCGGGGCTCCTCAGTAGACGACCACCCATCTCCCCCAGTGAAGCCCGGGCCCCTCCACCTAGGCTACGATCCTCAGGGGTGCTTCGAAAGTAACATCGGTACCAAGGATAATAAATCAGAACATCTGAGTATAATGGGCAGCTCCAGCTACAAGCCCATGGGGGGGGGTGCGGGGGGAGGGGAAGGGAGGTGAGGGAGAAGGGGCGGAGGAGGGCAGCGGAGGCCCCAGGGCCAGGCCAGCAAGGGGCCCCCTCTCTGGAGCGTGCTAGTCTCCTGTGCACCCCCACCCGGGACCCCGTAGGAACTACGTGTGAGCTAAGAGCAGACCCCGGTTCGGGACACTAACTACCCAGCTAACCTGGACTACGCCCTACACAGCAGGGACTGGCTACAGAGGGGCGGTGGGCTGCTGGGGCCTCCAGGGAAGTGGCAGAAATGTGCTTCTATAAAAGGGGCCGGCCTGCACCCTCCCCAGCATGCAAAAGGGCTTCGTAGCCCCAGGGAGGGCCCGCTGGCCAGTGGGCGGCTACCCGGGCCCGCTACCAGCCGGCTTGAGAAGGAGCCTCCGCTTCTCGCACTCAGACCTCCTCCTTCCTGCCGTCATCTGTCCTGGAGCCAAGGTCACTGAGGCCAGGCCGGTGAGCGCTGCCCTTAGTACAGGATGGTTTCTTTAAAAAGAATAAAATTGGGAAGCACTGCTGCTTCCCCTGACCCCTGCCTGGAGGCAGGGCGGTGTAGATGAGATGACCTTGGGCCTCACTCAGTAAGGAGGGGTTCTCCTATTTGGGGAACCCTCACCTTGGCACCACCAATTCCACTCTCAGCTTTCCGCAGACTCCCTCTTCAACCCACACCCCGAAATGCAGAGGTGGTGGCTCTCTGAGCTTGGGGTTCTGGAAAACCAGGTCCTGCATCTCCTCCACCAAAACACAAACAGAGTTCTGTCTGCCCACCAGGTGTTTCCAAGCTAGCTGTCCCGCGGAGCAGGGCACCTTGAGGGTCTGCGCCAGACCAGGGCACCCCAAGGTCTCCTGTCCTCCGGTCCCTGCTGGACCCCAATTCCTGCAGACACTGGAAGAGGGGCAGGCAGGACAGGGCGGTCAGATGGACTCAGACAGGCTGCAGCAAAGCTGCTTCCACGGGCAGGCGGAGGGAGGCCTGAGCTCCTCTTCAAGTGGGGGGGCTCTGGGCCCCCCCGGAGCTGGCTCCGGATCCTTGCAGAGTTGCCCCCTTGGCTCTGGGGCAGGAGTAGCTGCCTGAACCCGGTGCCACAGGAAAGACACTTGCTGGTAATTGGCACCATGGAGATGGCCGCTGGGTTCTGGACTCGGCTCCTGGCAGCGAGCTTCCGAGGAGGCATAAAGGGGGTGAGGCCGGACGCTGTCCGGGGCGGGACGTGGTCTGCTCTGCCGCCTCAGTCTTTCCTTTCTCCGATCGCAGCCACATCCTCCAGTCAAGAACCGGCCAAGTCAAAAGTGCAGCCAATCCCGTTGGGAGAGGGAAGGTCTCAGGGGGTGGGAGGCAAAGAAGGGGTGAGGAGGGGCCCAAGGGGGGCAGGTCTCCCCGTTCTACTTCCCCGCTGTGGGGGAGAACCCCCTTCTCCTGTGTTCAACATGCCCCTGGGCCTGGGGTCCCAGGCCGGGGCTGGGTGGTCTCCAGGCCATGTGGGGAAGCCCCTCCCCATCCCCGGCACTAAGATCGCTCACCACAGGGCCCCACTGTGCTCTCGAGGGACAGCTGGGAAGCCTGCCGGAGCAGGGGGCCCGTGGCTGGATCCACCATGGAGGAGGTGGGGAAGAGCTTGTACCAGCCCACGGCCAGGGTGGTCAAGTCCAGCTCCTCCAGCAACACGCGGGCCACTCCCATGAACTGCTTCCGCTCCATCCGTCCATAGTTCCCCCACACGATCACCTGCGGAAGAGACAGCGGTTCAGATTCTGCCAGAGCCGCTCTCTGGGCAGAACCGGAACCTGGAGTCGCCCCCACGCCCGATCGGCTCCGAGCCCTGTGGCTTCTACTGCCTCAAAATGGCTCAAGCCTAGCTGTATTTTCCAGCACTGCCACCATCACCCACCCAGGAGGCCAACTTCCTGCCTCCCGTCTCGCCGCACCTTTAACCTAGGCCTGCAGGCTGAGCCTACGTGGTGAGCCCCCTGACTGCCTCCCTCCAAGACCCTCTGCTTCCAGGGCCTCAGAAACCGCCTTTGCATGAAATCACGCTTGGAAATCGGCTGGTCACCTGTGAGGGCAGCTTCCTTCCTTCCCCAGCAGACCTGTCCCGCCAGTGCCAGCCCCAGCATCGGCTCCCTCGGAGGTGCCAGCCGGGTGGTCTCCGCGGCCGCAGGTCGTTTACTCTTCCGTGCCTCCACTTCTAATCTGCCCCTCTATAAAGCCAGAGCCCTGTGACCTAACACAACCTCTGGAATGAAGACATCTGTGGGTTCAAGTCCAGGCTGCGGGACGGCTGTGGGCGAATCCTTTAAGCTCCAGTCCCGTTTCTGGTTTGTCTACATGTAGATGAGGGCCAAAGCAGATAACGGACACAGAAGCTCCCAGCACCCGGGGCCAGACGGCACCAGGGGCTGCTGCTGTTTGCTGCACGCCGGGACTATTTACAGGCTAAACGAGTCTGGGCGTCAGTCTCCCAACAGCCCCGCCAAAGAAAGGATTTGATGTCGTAGCTGGTTATACTGAAGCTCAGAGAAATGAAACCTGGGCATCCAGCTGGTCATCTGCAGTGCCCTCTGGGCAGCCGATCAGAAACCCAGCCTGGTGTGTGATGTGTTTCCACCGGTGCAACAGGCTGAACTGTGACCCCCGAAATTCACACTGAAGCCCTAAATCCTCCTGCCTCAGAATGGGGCCGGATTTAGAAACAGCTCTGGTAGAGGCGATTACGCTAAAGGGAGGCCCTTAGGGAGGCCCTCGGACGGCCTTAGTCCAAATGGGCTACTGTTCGCAGAAGGGGAAGGGATCTGGATGCACAGGGACTCGGGTGCGCCACGCCATGGGCCACGTGAGGATGTGGCAACAGGGCACTGTCTGCAGGAGGGGCCTCAAGGGAGCCAGGCCCACGCTCTTTGAGCCTGCGCAGGTCTCCAGATGCGTGAGAAATGCATTCCTGGGGCTTCAGCCAGCCTGCGGCACTCTGCAACAGAGCAGCAAACAGTCCGGCTGTCCGGTGTGCCTCCCTCAGACAGGAGCAAGGCCGGCTCAGGTTCCTGCCCCTCCCCCAACTCGGCATCCCAGGGGTGGGGGGGCGCGGGGCGGGAGGGGTTGGGGTGGGTCGGCCTTCTCCCAAGATGCTCAGGCCAGAGCTGAGCACCTTTATCCAGTGGCCAGATGTGCCCATGATTTGTTTTCGGGCTGTTCGTGAATGCCTCTAGGGAGTGCCCCCAGCTTGTTCAGAGGGATGTAAGACATTTACACCATCACCCAGTGCACCGGCAGGTCCACATAGAGAAACGCGTGTCTGCTCACAGTGATCAGAGTTTTCTTTCCTATTCCACTCCATTAAAAATAGATTCTGGGTCCTCCCTGGTGGTACAAGGCGTTAAAGCACAGCACGATGAAGTTATCACAGCCACTGCAGCATGAGTTCGATCCCCGACCAGGGAGCTGACCCACATGGTGCGGCTGACCTCTCCTGGCTCGCCCCCTGCCCCCCTCAGCAGTGTATTTCAGTAGATCCTCCTATTCGAGCCCCCACTCGGTCTCTGGTGAATCCTCTCACCCACCTGCAGCTCTGGCCTGTACCCCAGTTCTTGTATGCATAAATAAATAAATCTTAAAAAAAAAAAAGATCCTGAGACCCGCTAAACTGACTTGACAGCTTCGACCCATCAATTGGAAAACTGTACCCTAGACAGCATCGAGCTTCCCAGTTTGGCAAAGGCCCCACTGTCCTGGCAGCGGGTGACAGTTCAGCCCTGCCCTGGACTGCTTTCCTTCCTGGCTCAGAGGCAAGAGGCAGAGGGATGAGCTGGAGGTGCCCAAGCAGCAGATCTGGGGGGCCAGATACATGGTTCCCACAGGCACCCGGCGCGGGACGCCCACACCCACGACCGGCAGCTGCCTTCAGCTCTGGCTCTGAGCCCCCTTAGGCCCCCCAGACAGCCAGCGAATCAAACAGCTCCCCGGACTGGGGCTTCCAGTCTGCTACCACTGTGACAGCATCACGTGGATAGCGATGATGAGAATGATAGCAATATTAGTCATAATGGCGTTCAGTTGTAAAGCACTTCCTAAGACCACATCTGCAAATGCTGTTCTTGCACAAAGCACGCGTTCTACCATCTGTGTAACGTCATCAGTAGGTACCATCTGAAGAAGCTGAGCCCCAGGAAGGTACTGGTAACCTCACAGCTAGCTGTGGAGCTCATCAGCTACCATGCTCTTTGTCCCCGAGGCCTCCCAAGGAGCCCCTCCCTCTCCCCTGGAACTCCACCCCTCACCTCCAGTGCCCCTCACCTGCAGGACCTTTCCCTGGGGACTCTCAGGAAACAGCAGCACCTGGTTATACAGAGGGTCCAGTGACTTGCGAGCCACTTTGGTCTTTTTCTTGGCGATGCAGACACCATTCTCCAGCAGGTAGGCCTTGATGTAGGCCGCTGGGGACAGAGGCCAGAAAGTAAGTTCTTGTCTGGGCCCTCATATGGGGAAAGGGTGCAGAGGAAGGCAGCTACCACCCACTGCCGGGGATGGGAGTGCCCCATGGGGTCTGGGCAGGAACAGGGATGAGTGCAGGTGGGGGGGGCAGCAAGGGCTCAGTGGGGCCCACTCCACCCCCTTGGACAGCTTGGCCTGCCTCCTCCCTTCCTTTGCTTACCATGTACTCACCTGTTTCTTCTCTCACCCTGGCTGGCCCACCCCTTCCCTGGCTTACATATTCATTGATGAGCCATCACCCCACAAGTGTGCTGAACCCTATTTGTGCTGGCCAACCTATAAGGCACTGGAGTATAACCCTAGAAGGGAAAGCTGGTCCTGGCCTTCCAAGAGCTTAGTACAATGGAGGAGGCCAATGAAGTCAATGCACACAGTCTCACGGGTCCACAGAACAAACCCTGAGCCACCAATTCCATGTGAGTAGCTAGGATTAGGACAGGGGGCGCCCCCAAGTTGGGCCTAGTTTCTCTCTTCCAGACCCAGATGGTCCTCAGCATGTCCCCCAACCTCACCTCCCCCCCCCACCCCGGCAGAAGGCAGGGAGCCCCCACCTGGCAGTGTCTTGGAGCCTGGCTTGGCTGTCAGTCCTCGTGCCTGGATGATGTCCACTTCCAGCTGTCCATTCCGCTCCTGCAGGCCGATCTCCACATCCCCTGCAGGAAGCACCGAGAGATGAGAGCGGGTGGCGGCTCAATCTGACCCCCCTCTTCCTCTGCCCCCCCGCCCCCATCCCCCACTGTGCCCCGGCTCTGCTGGGGGCTTAGCAGGTGAGGCCCAGGCTGGTGCTCAGCAGATGGCACCCAGGCAGAGGGGAAGGCGGGAGACAGCAGGGCTGCTGGTGTAGCACATCTGCAGGCACTCACCCATCGGCGTGGTGGCCAGGGTCTGGCGGCCCACGAACTGCGCTGGCCCCATGCTGCCCAGGAAGTCACTGAACTGTGCGTCCGATGCCAGGCAAACTCCTCCGTAGTTGAGGCTGCAAGAAGGCAGGATGAGTCAGACACAAACGTGCCCGGCTGCCCAGAGTGGACCCTCAGGTGGCCAGGCCCGGACTGCCTTCATTTCAGGCATCAGCATCCATCCCCGGCCTGAGGCAGACCTGGGTCCTGTCTCTTCCCCCCTTTCTTCTTCCTGGTCCTAAACGCTCAGCACAGACTCCACAATTGTAGGGCTTTGTGTCCTGTAACACCCCCCTTACCTCTTCCTGCCAATACTGAGGATCTACCCAGAAGAAATGGGCATGGTGGTGGCATCTCTTTGGGTGGCTGTGGCATCGCAGATGGGGCTTGGCAGGGCTTGGATCCTACACCTTAGTGCCATGGCACCTTGCGAAGTGTGGTCTGGGAGCTAATTAGAACCACACAATTGCACCCTACTCTACCTCCAGCTGCCCACTCCTTTGCACCTGACCACTTAGGGCACACAGGACCAGCTGCTCAGCCCTGGAGGTGTGAATTTGATGCTGCTGCTGGACTGCCGAATGGGCACTCCCCTTCCTTTGGTAACGAGGCCTCAGCTCTCTGCTGGGGAGCCTCCTCCCTGAAGCACTGATTTCCATGGAGCGGAGCAAACCCAGCTCCAGAGGCGGGTGTGAGTTCAGCCCAGCCAATTAGCACCTTCCTTCCCCTTGGCCAGTGACAGGCTCAGTGGGTGTGTGATCCAATTCAGCTCACAAAAATCTGGCTCGGATCTTTGAATTGTGAAGAGAGAGAAGCTTACTCTTCCCAATGGGCTTGAAACTGAGGCATGAGAGGGAGCCTTGGGCAGTCACCACCTGAGCTCATGAATGAAGCCATCCACCTCGAGGCTCTGCATGAGCTCCTGGATCAAACTCTGCCTGAAGCCGTTCCTTCATTTTTTGGTTACATGGTCAATAACAATAAAACCAAAAAAAAAAAAATTATTATTATCAATTAGTATTGTTATTTTGCTTCCACCAACTTTAGTTATCTTTTCCTTTCCACTCTCTGAAATGGGAATAATGCCATTATCATTATCATTATTCAGGTGAGGAAACAAGTTTAGCCTGACCTAAAGCCACAGGGCTGATGGCCTAAAGCCATCAGCGCTTGAGTCAGTACTTCCAACGCCAATCCCACGCCAATCCCACGTAACTCTCTGCCCCTCCCGCGTCCCCAGAACAGCAGCTAACCATGCTGAGCACCTTGTGCCAGCGTCCACAGCCAGGGGGTCTGTGAGCAGGAGGAAACTGTGTTGGGCCTCGGGGCACCACAGGCTTTGTTCCCTGCATTGAGACAGGTGCTCCCCACCCCTACTGCCCAGAGCTCCCCTCTCAGGGAGACTGCTGGGCCCTCAGCCTGGAAGCAGCATGAGGAACACGACCCCTTCTGCTTCAAAACAGAGTTACCACATGATCCAGCAATTCCATTTCTGGGTCTGTACCAAAGCCAAAATTGAAAATGCTGATTGTATTCCTAGAAGCATGGTTTGTGGCAGACAAAAGGCAGAAGTGACTCAAGAGTCCACCCCTGGACAAACAGGTAAGCCATGTGCGGTCTGTATGTGCACAGCCTCAAAGGGGAGAGGCTCTCTGACGCGTGTGACCTGAACCTTGAAGACACTGTGCTTGTGAAATAAGCCAGTCACAAGAAGGACGGACGCAGATTGATTCCACTTAAACAAGAGCCCCAGAGGAGCCAAAGCCATAGACAGAAAGCAAAATGGTGGTCGCCAGGGCTGGGAGGCGGCGGCAGGATGCTGTTTAATGGATATGGAGCTTCAAACTTCTAAGAGGAAGTGAGTTCTGCAGATGGGTGGCCATGTGGCTGCATCTACTGGGCATGGCTTGGCTTAGTGTCAGTCCACCACACGCTTAGAAGAGGTTAAGATGGCAAATTTTGTTGCATGTTTTATCACAACTGAAACAACACCAAAAACTATCCCACATGTGATCGCTCTTCCCCCATCAGAGCGACCAGCAGAGGGTCCAGGATGGTGCAGCCACGAGAGAAAAGCTTGGGCTAGTGACCAGAAATGAGACCAGAAAGGCCCCCACCAGCATCTACAGAAGCCGGAAATAAATGTAAGCCGGGGTTCAAGGCAGGTCGCAGCAACTGGCTTTACTTAAACGCACGATCCAGCGCCTGGCCACGACTGCCAGGTGCAGGCACCATCAGCCCCATGGGAAACAGAGGAAGAATCCCAGATTCAGAAGGTCACACGGGGCAGTCCAAGTGGCGTGCCCTCGCAGAGAGCCCCCAGCCCCCCGGCTTGGGGCTCCCCCAGCTTCCCAGTCCTGGCTGCTTGGTTTCGCTAGCCACGTGGGCTAACCCAGCATTCTTCTGTTCCCACTTAAACCACTGGCAGACGGTGGCAGAAAAACAATGTCGCCTGTTTGCTTGAGGGCTTTTCATGTTCATGACTTCCTAGCCCCTGCTGCCCTGTCCTCCATCTAGGCAGAGCCAGGGGGTTCTAGGTCCACTGGCTTGGAGGAAGGGTGACCCAGACCAAACCAGCAGAATCTGGATGTTGGGTTTGAAATCTAAGTAGAGCAGCCAGCTGTGAACCAGGCTGTCCCGCCCCCAGTGAACAAACACCTGGGAGAGCAGAAGCCAGCTGAGGAGGGGAGAGTGCAGAGACTGGGGGGAGGGGAGAGATGGGGTGGGGTACCCAGAAAGGCTTGGCTGTGGAGTGGCAGGAAACCCCAGCATATTTGGGGAGCCTAGAAGCCAGGGGACTGTGCCTGTCCCTCTCACTGTGTGGAGCGGAGGAAAGGACACAATCCGTGCAGAAATGTTGCCTGGTGTCTCTCACAATGAAACTGGGGGCGTCCCCGGGGCTCCCTGTGTCCCTCCAGGGCCCAGAGGAGCGTGGGTTCCCGCCCTGGAGAGCACACCAAAGCAAGATAAAGGCAGAGGGGTACTCCAACCCAGACAGCTGGCTTACCAATCTATTATGTCAACAATTGTGCATCACTGTTCAGAAAGTAGGCAAAAACAATAACCTAAAGATCTGGGGAGACAAGTGTGTACCCACTCATCCTGCAAGCCCAAAGACCTTTGATGAACAGTACAGGGCTCAGCCCCAACTCCCCTAGGGCTGGTGATGCGGCCTTCATCCCCCCAGACCCCCATATGTTTGACCTCGCCCCTCCAGCCACGGGAGGGTGGGGCCGTGCTCGGTTCCCTAAAGAGGTTCTGAGCTCCAAGGCACAGAGGGGGCCCACCCTCCAGGCGCAGCCAGGCCTTCTGCTGCCTGAAATTGAAAGTTTCCTCCAACACCGTCATCGTCTCAGTTCCTGGGAGCAGACAATGGGGAACTGGCAGGCCTGGTAATTAGTAGTAATTGTTTGTAATATCTGGGCGGCTGCCTGATTTCTCATTCCAGGGTGCCTCACTGGCTGCCGAGGCTGACAGCCCGGAAACCGGAACAGTTAACACACCCTCCAGCAGGCTGGAGGTGATGCAAGTCCCTGCTGGACCCAGGATCACCTGTATCACAGAACCCCCCCCACCCCCCAGCTCAGGGTCTTCCCGGGGCAGGGGAAGGTGGAGGCAGGGTCAGCCCTGGCCGGCCACCTGTGCGTGGCAAGCTGCAGGTGTCTGCACGTGAACCTTGGCTGCAGGGGCGCCCACAGCTGCCTCGTGGACAGGGTACAGCCGCTCCGGGAGGGGTGTCGCCGCAGCCCAGTTGTCCCAAAAGCCTCTGCTCAAGGATCCACTTGCAAAGGGGCAGGAAAGAGCTCACAGAACTAAACACCACATGCTTGCTAGTGTGACTGCGCCTTGTATGCAGTAGGAACGCTTCAGATACTCACTGCCAAGCCTTTCAGCTGGTCCCTAGGTGGGAAAATAAAGTCCAGTGGGTTAACGCTGGGCTGGGGCACAACACAGACCTTGGGTTCCAGCGCTCTGCAGCCTGGTGTAACTTTCATGACCTCTCTGAACTGCAGTTTCCTATGTAGAAAAGGGTACGAATGACCACGGCCTTGCGGCACTGTTGGGGTGTCAGTGAGGGTTAGAGAGAGGGGTGCCAGGGGTTAGAGAGAGCTGGGCCACGGCTGCGGGTCCCTGCTGCCGCCAGGTGAGGCTCTTCACAGCATGTTCGAGGCATTTCTACCTCCAGGCCCGTTAGAAGCGCGGCACCTGGACGGCTGAGTCCATCCCAGGCCGCCGGCCACCAGCTGCAGCGGCTGGTTCCCCTAAGGGCCATAGGCCTGGCGTGCAGGGGCCTGAGCAGGTTACTGCCCGGTTCTGCAGGACTGTTATTTTGTGTTAATGGTGAAAGGAGATTTCCTGCATCTCAAACCTTGATAGTTTTGTTTGTGGAGCTGAAACCCATTTAGCTTTTATTATTCACTTTTGAGCTCAGTTTGGCCCCTGGATTTTCTGTGTTCTCGATGGTTAAAGAGGTAATTGGGTTATCTGGGGGGGGGGGGGCTGACTCTATTTTCTTTTCCAGATGGATCACCTGTCTCAACTGCATGAGAAATAAAACGGCAGCGCGGGCCCTGCAGTGACTGTAGGTTATGCAGTTCTGGAAGGTTCCTGCTGCTTGCCGACTCTCTGCTCCCTCCTTTACCGCCTCCCCAGGCCACTTGGCCACTTGTCCCTGTCTTCCAGCAGGCCTGCTGCAATGAAACATTCCTAAAAATTACGGCGGAGGGCAAAATACTACACTCCAAATCACAGGGCTTACATGGAAAATGGATTAGGAGAACAGCAGCCCCAAACTACACTGGTGTCCTGGAAAGAAACAGTCTGCCTGGGAAACGGTTACGAAGCGCTACAGGGCAGGCGGATGTTACCTGGCGTGGCTTTGTGGACGTGGGTGGGCGTCGGGGCGCGGGGGGCGTGAAAGGGGACAGGATGTGGCTGGGGGTGGCCCCCAGCAGGCAGCCGCTGAGGGAGCCGGTTCCCGGGGGCTGTGTTGTCCACCGACTGCCGTGTGGGTGCGGTCTGTGCCCGCAGGGCAAGCGGGTGGCAGGGCCCGCCTCACCCCGGCCGCACAGCCGCT